GGAGATATAGAAACGAATTGCGAATAAACAACTAGAAATGTCTATGCTAAATCGCGGTAAATTTGTTTTAGATGCACAAACAGTGACTTTGCTCTTTAAAATTAAAATTCAGGGTTACATGGAGAGTAAGATATAAGTCTTTCCGAAGTAACTTCGAAAGAATGATTTAATCTAAATATATCTTAAGCTTTATAGAAAAGCGGAAATTCAATTTTTGATTGATGCTCTTCTCAACGAAGCTGTCGCCCTTACGCAAACCCCTAGTAACGGGTTTAAGAGTTCCAGCGATTTGTATAGGCTGTATAGAGTCTTGAAAAGATTTTTTCATCGAGACTGAACTTATACTTTGCGAAGATAAACAAAATACTTAAGACATGGAAAGAATAGAGAATATTAAAACAGACTTCAAATCTTATTATTTTCCCTGCGCTTGAAGGTTTGTGCTGTATACGATATCCTTAATAGTGTTCAGGCTCTCAGATTAGCTGGAGATATCACAATTAGATGTGGAAAAACAAGCAAACACAAAACTGGAGAAAAACGTAATTATACATCACCCTCCAGTAGACAACTTTGCAACTTTCAACTTGTCAGATAAAACATTGTTTTAGTCACGCTATGATTTGAGCCGGACTTTACCCATAATACTATACCTTTCAGCTTTCCGAAAATGTCTCAACTTGCTTCTGAGAATCTCTGAGAATGTTTTAAAACTTCCACAGCCTTGTGGCGTCAGGCTTTATAGAAAATCTGATTTTAACAAGCTGCAGAAGTCGTCGCACCCGTTAAGAAACTTTCAAAAACTGAACCTCTGATGATTGTCATGGGCAGAAATTCAGATAGACTCCCAAAAGTTCTTAGGTGCCCAATATTGTATAAGGACTTTCCACATTCGATAAAGTAACATGTTGCTTCAATTGTTATGAGGCAAAGTACGCCTTACACCGTTGACACCTCGCGGCGGCCCAAATAGACGTCATCTTTTAATTGCATGTATTGGAGTTGCCATGGTGATTATTTCCTTCCCGATCTCTGTTTACTACAATGTTGTTTTTCTTGGAGTCTTTTATATCTGTACCATTCATTTGCTGCTGTTGACCCGTGGAAGTCTTGCAGCAACTCGTGGAACACTCCGTTTTGTAGGTAAATAACAACTTGTAAAAGTATTTTATTTACGGGTAATTCAAAAAGAAAGTTGTGCGAACTTTGTGCAGAATAAATAACTAATTAAGGACCAATGCTTACGTTAACTCAGCAAGTAATCTTTATGTTTCTATTTTCTCTTATTTTGTAAAGGAAATGACACTTATCTACCCTAATTAAGACCTCGACCCTTTAAAACATAACATTGCTGTTAGCAATGACCTCAGTTGTGACAACTTAATATTTTTTCGCTGGTGAGGGCTTTAGAAATTCCACTGCTAACTGCACGGCTGTCAGTTGCTCAATGACTGCAATCTCTCCTAGCCAGAAATTCTGGGAGTAAGTGTTACTTTTTAGCGATTCGCTTATCTTAAGTCCAAATTTCCTGGTTATGTTTGTGAGGTACTGCAGTTCTCAATGTCGCGCACTGCAATACTTGTAAGGGCACCTTAGCAGTCTTGGATTAACCCTGAATTAATTTGCCTTCAAGAAATTACAACTGCCTGATTTTCCCAAGCAATCAAACTAATGACTAGTCAAAATTTACGGCTGGGTTAATCATTCTACACACAGTAGCATGTACACAATTACACATGAGCAGAATAATATTAACGACAAAAATTAGTCAGGCAAACCACTTTTGCCTGGTGCCCTGGATGGAATTCTCTTCTACGTAAAGTCAGATATTTTCAGTTTACGTGGTTAGCTCTTGGCTAATGGAAAAGAAGGAAAAGATTTATCGAATAATAGGGATATTTTTTTGTCTTGGCCTGAGAGGTGATTTTGTTTGTTTGCATGAATAGCCATTATGCAAACAAATTTTTTTCATTTCATGATATGTTGTGAAGCGGGTGAGATTCGTGTACCGCTGGCCACCACTTTGTTTATCGCATGGGTCGCTGTTTTCTTTTGCATCCATAAATGCATCAAGAGCTCTGGAAAGGTAAACAAAAATGCACAGTCTAACAAAATTCATTTCAGATTCACTCGCGAGGATTAAAGATTTTTTTCTCGTTGTGCTGTTATAAAAATCATTAACTTAGTAGGACTAATGAAGTTTCAACCGAAGAGAAACGTGGTGAATATAACTTCTTGAGTCTGAATGGTTGTATCGCCACTAGACAATACTTGGGTAAAAGAGAACCTCGATCACATGAAAGGGAATATGGGGATAAAGTACGCCATCCGTTCAAGGTGGCCTGTTTCATTATCCTTGTTTATGGCGTCAATTTGTCAATGTCGCGTTCTTCCCTGATCCTGGTGCTCTGCTTATCCGTGGCGTCAATTTGCCTGGTGCTCTGCATGGAATTCTCTTCTACTTAAAGACAGACTTTTACAAGCTCTTAGAACCACAGGTGGGAATGGATTTAATTCTCTCCGACAAAAAGATGATGCACACAGCAGGATTTGTTTAGTCTACTAAGAAGCTTTTGACCATAACCCTGGCTAAATTTCCATTTTTTTTTCTGTCGTTTTTGTTCTTAGGTCTGGATCGATGCTGCTACTCAAATATTTTTCTCCCTCAATGTTGGTTTTGGAGGCCTGGTCACCTATGCCAGCTCTAATGAATGCAATAACGACTGTGAACGGTATTGTACAGTTCCGATGCGGAAATTAATGCCCTTCAGCAATTTTTAGACAGATGCTATAAGTTGCACTTTATATCTACGCAGTTAAATATTAGATCATTACTGCAAAAAAAAGATAAAGCGATTCTTAAAATAGTTCAACAGCGTGATAACCACCCTCTGAAGGTTTGCTTACCGCAAGAAAAGAACAATTTAACCTACAACCTTAGACGTAAAAGCTGCCAGTGGCCTAAGATAAACACTGAACTTTATAAGAACACATTTGTAAATAGATTAATTTTTAAATACAACCTTTTATAGTATTTTATGCCAGATATATTGATCTAGTTTGATCTTTTTTTCTTTTTATTCTATTGTAATTTTTGGCTGAACCTTGAATCTTTTTATCCAGCAACATTAGATATGTATTTTTGTCCAATGAACAATTAAGACATTTATTAGTAGTAGTAGCAGTAAACTCTATACACAGCGCTTTCTCTTTCGCTCATCACATGTTGCTTAAAATGGTCAGATAAATGAGTTAGTACTTCTAGTACATTCACCTTTAGGGAATAGTAAGAAAGTTGACCTCCGTATACTAACAAGAGGTTCTATTGTTTCACATAATACGAAAGACTCTGAATAACAAAAGTGTCTCGGCGACTTGAATGACATTTCATTACATATATAAACCTGACTTGTGCTTGTTTGTTTCCACGGACGCAGTTGTGGTATCGTATGTCAATTGTGCCACCAGTATGGGCGGAAGGTTTTCCATCTTTAGTGTAGTTGGCCTAATGGCCCACACCCTTGGTAGGGAAGTGGCACAACGGGTTGTTTCTTCTAGTAAGATAACAAATTAGGGCGTGGTTGGGTCTCGGAATTTTTTTTGGCCAGCCTCTATTGTGGAAATCTCTTTCGTTTTTACTATTTTTATCTTCCTCTCCCCCCGCTTTGTACTCTTTTTGTATTCACGCGCGGCGCGCGTGTTTTCACAAGTTAACCAATCACGTTAAAGAACTCTGACCTTGACATTGGAAAACTGACGTAGACATTTTTCTCATACTTTTGTCTGTTTTCGCGAAGCTATAGTTATTTGTTTTTGAGCTTTCGTTCGCGCCAATTTGTTACCCCTTTTTTGGTAAATTAAGAATTTTCGGAGTTTTATTTTAGCCAAATGGTGTGGTTCATTCAACAAATTGAATACATATTTTCTGCGGAATTTGGACTCTAGCCTCTTTTTAGTAGATCAATTTTTTATATTTACTCTAGGATTGAAAAATGAAAGAAATTTGTTTTAATTAAATTGTAGGACCTGGTCTGGGTTTTGTGGCTTATCCCGAGGGGATTGCTCAGATGCCGGCTGCACCCGTTTGGGCTATGATGTTGTTCCTTATGCTCTTCGCAATCGGACTCGGAAGTCAGGTTAGACAAATTTCAGCCTCTTGTTTATGAACGCAATTGACTTTCAAATTATTTTCGCTCAAAGATCTTATAACTGACGTGGTCGGTGACAGAGTGACTTATTTATTAGCTGGTTAACTCGCTGACTCATTGACTGATAAACCGACTGGCTAACCGACTGACCGACTGATTCGCGAACTTACTGACTAGGTTATTGACTTATTGACAATTTGAATCAGCATATTAGAGTCACAACTTCTTGACGTTTTCGATGTTTAGTTTGTGTTCACAGAAACGACCATAGCAGCAGTGATGGACACATGCACCAATGCACTATTACTTTATTTAAGCTGAATTATGCAATGGTATCTGGAATAACATCTTACATGAATAAATGCTAATTTGAAAATAAATGGTTACGCCTATAAATTGCCACCAATAGATACAAAGTCGAACAAAGCATTTGCAGTGAAAGCAGCCCTCTAAATTTTATACCTTAATTTAGGTTCGTTTAGGCCCGTTGCACAGGGAAATTTATTCCAAAATATGTCAATAAAAGTTTTTAAAACTAAGAAACCGAAAAGGACTGATTTGACTGGCTTGGTTAACGCAGAATTGGCGAGGAACAGAGAAGATTTTAAACTTGAAGAGGGGAAAAAAATTGAACAAACCTACATTTATTGTTGTAAGCTATGTTTCACCGAGAATTCCATTTATTTTTGCCCCTAATGAATACACTAAGGAACGAATATCTGAAAAACAGCTGGAAAGTTATCAAAGGACGCAACCTTGCTATGCCCTTTTGTCTCTCTGTGCCATTTTTTCTTGACTTAAAGCCAACAATAACAACACCGTGACAACTTTTACAATCTGTCAGCTGCCTCTTCAAGCACATACACCATTACCTGGTCGACTGTAAACTTCAATCAAGGAGAGAAGAGAGGATATAGTTCCCGTGACCATCACAATAACACCAACCACTACCACAACACTATCAACCACAATGTTACACCATGTCATGTCCTGGAAGTACATCTTCATATGAAACAAGGGAGGAAATATGAACTCCAAGCTAATACCAGCGATACTTCCCACAAGGGCCAATATATAAGTGTAGGAAGGGAAAGCAGCAGCAAAAATTACACTGATAGATACCATTAACAAACGAAATGTAATTACAGACGGAGTGAAGATTGATTTACCATAGCTTCCTGGAAAGAAAAACAGAGAGGAGTTCTCAATGATCTCAAATATGGTGAACATTGGCAGTGTGTAAGACGTGAAGGACAGTACTGCTGCCATCACATTCACTGCTGCTCGGAATGAACCCTCTGGCAAGCTATTTGTTATAACTTCAGCCGTATCGACTTCAAATGAAATGTAAGCGACTACTCCAATGGTGACATTAAGTAATGTCATCGCTACATAAGACAAATTAATCACTGAGTTGAACTTTTCCTTGTGGCGCATGCTACCTTCGATTAGTGATACAAATGGCTGCGACAGATAACTTGCTACAAGGACTCCTAAAGCTGATGGATATGTACTGGCGTCGAAATTTTCCAAGGAGCTTATTTCCCATTTTTGTACATGCAATAAGCTGTACGTAACAACGGTGACAAAAATAACTTTAGCGGAAAGTACCGTTAAGATGCTTGTCCATGCCACCTGAGAAAGGTTTTTAAGAAAAACATTTGGAACAAAAAGTATACCGCCAATGAGTGTGCAGAGCCAGCAAGGAAAAGCAACATGGGGAAACGATCTTGCAATTAATTTACCGACCAAAAGAGGATAAACTGCTGTAACAAAAAGCAACTCTATAAACTGAGTAGCAAGGACAAGATGACCTCCTATGTTTGGCAGGAAAGCATTGCCGACATCTGCATAGGAACTGCGGACCCTTTTTCGTTTACCGCTCTTTGGATCGGTTTCATAGAGGCACCGAACAATGATTTTCCCAGTATAATTAGAGGCAGCAGCGACTAGCAAAAGAGTAAGTATGGCTAAGTAGCCACCATTTTTCACGGCGTAAGGTATGACCAAGATTGGTAAACCTTGAATTGTGTTGCAGATGTTCCAAAATGTCTCAAATGTCGAGGCAAAAGTACCTTCATCACATGAAGTGTTCTCCTCCTGTTGATCTCTGATATCATACTGTTCACATTCGTCCAAAAGATTTACTTTATCTTCTTCCTTCTCTTGATAACCTTCTCTGTTCATTACACCCGTACCTTTTATAATAATTCTAAACATAGACTGCATACTCCTTCTCAACAAGCTCTGGTTTACTAGAATGCCTTCCTTATTCATGTCCCTGAGGCTCAAGGGGTAAATAACGAGTTCTGATTAATATTTCCACCATGATCTGTCGACTGTATAGCGGGGTCTGAAGTCCACCGAGTGCCACATGTGAAGATTTATGTTCATCGAAGGACAATCTCAGAACCTTTTTACTACAGTGGACAAGGACTTATTTCATTTGGAGTTTTCAATGTCCTGGGAGTAGTCGTAAGGCTGATTGTATGTCGATAGACACCTGTGTCTTGCTCATAAGCCGCAATAAGCTGTTAAAATGGGGACTTTTTCGAGGTTTTGTGATGAGTTTAAATTTCTCTGGGTAACTTTTAAGGGAACCATAGTGATCTGTTTTAAAAAAAACATTGAGCTAGGCATTCTTGGCACCGGCTAGTATCATATGATGCTGTGCTAATTGTTTCAAATTTAACATGATTTTGTCTCACCCTGCAAGCTAAACATAGCCTTTAGGATGGACGGCTTTATTCTTTCCTGACACAAAAATGAAATACCTTGTAACGGTAAAAAAGTTTGGTACATTTTGTTGTTGACCATATTCATGGTTTTCATAATCACAATTGACATTATCATCTTTATTTCATCTTATTGTCCTTTTGCGTGTTACTGTAGAAACTGTTCGCTCTCTTAAGAATGAATTTCTCCAAAAGAGGCCGGTCCGGCCGGCGCCTTTCAGAAAATCAGTTAAAACTTTGTACCAAAATCAACTGCATGTTACTCATTAAATGATCACGGAAGGAGACCACAGATAACTTTTAGTCTGAATAATCCCACCCATAAAGAAGTTTAACAATAAACGTCTTTTCATTCAAACTTTGCATACTCAATCAACTATTCATCAAAAGATCACCACGACTTCTTTTCTACAGTGAAGCTGTATTATAAAAAGCTTCTGAACCAGCTTGGCATCGGAAGTAATGAACGTATATTAGCAGATCAGCTGAGTGTTGATATTGTTTTTTAAAATTCTGAACCTAACAAAACTGTTTTAGGCAATTTGATTTTGGCATCCAGCTGTACTTTCCGGTGAAGTGAAAACCACCTCATTCTTCGTTACAATGATTCCGCCAGAGCATATACAACCAGTAAATTCGATTTGGCGCTAAGCAAAGCGTGAGATGGATGTCCGAGCTCATTACAGATTTCTGTTTCAAGAAATTAATGGTTTTGAGCGGAGACATTCAAGGTCCCTGCTAAGGCCCGTTTTCTTCGTCTAGCTAGTTAGCGATACCAATAGCCGTCTTTTCGTTGTCCATGTTTACATTTAAGAGCGAGGTATCAAAAGTTTTGAAATTAAAATTAAAAAAAATTGGAAACTGTTCCTTAGATGTAGATCTTAAAATATGGCTTCGCGCCCATAAAGCCCCCGAGAATTTCGAGAGATGGGCCAAAGGACACATTTTAAAGCCCACTGATCACGACAAAGTGTTGTGTTTGAATGACAGACACTAAAACATAAGTCAATTTTTCTAACTGAAGTAGAATCCAGTCGGCCAGTCCAGCAGTCGTCAGCTAATAATTAAGTCAGGAACTCTTGCACGAAATACACAATAGTCAGTAATGAAGCCAAGCGCATTCTCGCGTGCATCTGCCGAAATTTTCTGGCATATATTAACGTTTGCACTGCGCAAATATTCGCTTCATTTTTTGCTGATCGTTCACAGAACAGCACGTTTTTCACGCCAAATTTAAACATTCGTTAAATTCAGTTGTGAAAAATGCCGTTAAAAGAAGGATACCACATCCTTGAAGAGAGTCTAGATGAGGAAAGCTACCCCCACGAAAAAACCCTGGACGAGACGTTTGAGGAGATGAAGAAAATATCAACCATGGATACATTTTGGAACGCGTGTAACTCCGTTCAAGGGCTTACCATCTTGGCGATGCCTCTTGTGACGTCGTTTGGTGGGTACTGGTTTCTTTTTGGCATTACAGCCATTGCAGTGCTCTCTAACTATACCTCAAAAATCCTCATTCAGTGCCTCTATGAGCAATTTCCTGGTAAAGGTCGAACACGTGTACGTAATACATTCGCTGACATCGGAGATGCTTTCTGGCCAAAGTACGGAAGACTCATGGTCGATGCGACAAAGTTTCTGGAATTAATTTTTGTTGCAACTGTGAATCCAATAGCTTGTGGGGAGGCCATTTATTACACTGTTCCTTACCTTCCCGTTGGAAAGCAGCTTTGGATCCTCATTTTCGGCCTGGCTATGATTCCCAACGTTTTCCTGAGCTCTGTGAAATTACTTTCCAAGATCAGCATGCTTACCATATTTTTTGCCCTGACAAACTTCTCCATCATAGTTGCTTATTGCTTGGGTCATAGCGCTTCCTGGAAAGCGGAGGATTTGCAAGTTTTCGACCCTGTCCGGTTTCCCCTGGCACTCGGAGTAGTTTTGGCCAGCTTCTCGTCTCAAATTTACCTGACCGTGCTGGAGGGAAACATGCGATGTCCTGAAAAGTTCAACGCCGTCATCAACTACGCTTATATCGCTATGACTGCGCTAAAGATCGGCGTTGGAGCATTTGGTTATTTGACCTTCTCAGGCAGTGTCAGTGACATGGTGTCCAACAACCTTCCACTTGGACTCTATCGCATCACTGTGAACATTGTGATAACCGTTCTGTCCTTTTCAGGTTATTCCCTCCCTATGTTTGCGGTGTTCGACATGGTGGAGAAGTCAGCCCCCCGGTATTTGACCGCCAGATTTCTAAACCAGGATGGACACCGACCTAATCGTCCGTGTGTGGTGTTGTTGCGTTTCGTGCTGACATCAATCACCATCCTGATGGCAGTTATTATTCCGCACTTCACTCTTTTCGCTGCATTTATTGGAAGTGGTACAGGTACTGCGATAGCGCTGGTTTTTCCTTCCGTTTTCTACGTAAAAATTTTTTACTGGGAGTTAAGGTGGTACGAGATTGTTCTGAACGTTTTCATCGTCTGTTTTGGGCTGCTCATGGCAGCTTGTGGAATGGTTTCTACAGGACAACAGCTGTACCTAACCTTCTCCACAAAAGAGGTGGATTTCTAAAGCTTAATTAATGCGAACTCTGTCAAGTCCAGTTGATTGAGTGAAACGAGAATCAAATGTGATTTTATGTGTGGACCTCTTAGAGAACGGCAAATGGTCCTGGAACTGAAACTTAAAAATAAGCATGTTTTGTTACTGTCTTGGAATAGGAGTACGCTTGGAGCTAGCTGGCTCTGTTTAATGCTTAGGTATCGGCAGGCTACGAAGCCGAAAATATTTTTCTGTTGGGCCCCTCAGCAGCTTATTTATCACTGCTTGGCTGTTTGCAGTGCGGCACCCCATTGAGAGCCTAATTGCATATTATTTAAGAGACAAAGTTTTGTTTAACAAGCGGTAGATAAGAGTCGCTCAAATAGCCTGTGATAAGTGTTGTTCTGTCAAACGACGAAGAAAACATTTAAGTTTAAACCGAAAATTCGCTCTTGCGCTCGAGGCTTCTTTGGCCTCTCGAACGAATAATTTGTCAAGTTCAAGACAATTTAGTACGAACAGTGCCCCTTTACAAGCGGCACAAAAGCGGAAGTCAACAAACATTTGCGCGTCATGATACCTGGGTCCACATGATAACAACGAAGGAGTACACTATTCATTTTTTACAGATTCTCTTTATTTATTATTCAGGGCTATGAAATACTTCGTTCCCGGTTGGATAACAGCGATTTCGTTGAGAAATCATCAGGAAAGATTTCAGTTTAAATCCGTAATTATTGGCGCAAAGTTGTTAGCCCAATAAAGAGGGTGAAGGAAAGATTATCCTCTAACTAAAAAGTACCTTGACCTTTAAACCACAGGCTTATCAAATCAGTTTCTCTGCTGTAAAAAAGTTTCAACAAAGAAAAATAAAATAATCTGAAAATACAGAGTAAGTTGACCTTGTCAGTGAGAACTAATTGCAATACGAGGTCACTACGTATTTCAAACATGGGCGTTGTAAAATCAAATCTGATTATAAAATTAAGATTTTTTTCCAATCCAATTGAATATCGCAATATCACATCATCTCTTTTTCTTAACGAAAATCGGTGAGTTTCACATGTTTAAGTTTATTTCTTTTAAAGCTATGTATTTGACTTTTGCGTGCACATCAAAATAGTTTCGGTTCTCTTGCAATTGCAACAATATTCACGCCGCAGGTCTGATTAATGTTACAGTTCAGCTCAACTGGAATCATTATAAAACGAATTTTCAAAGATCTATTGTGCTCTTTCAATTGAGCATAATTTCAGGGATTTTTCGTTAATTTCCTAATAAATTTTTTAGCTATAAAGGTTATAATTTGGCATATTTGCTTCATTTTCAAAAGTTCTCACCGCTCCATTTAGATGCAAATGGGGCTTAATGATATTGTTTGCTTGTTTTTTTTTACAATTTACTTCGGTTGATATTAAATAGAAAGCAAAAGAGAGGAATCATAAAATGACTCTCAACTAAACAATAATCACTTACAACTATTGTCTTTCTGCTAATGAAGAAATTAAGGATACAACAAACCACTGAACGCAAACACCCATCCGTTTCAAAAATTTTCAAGGAAGGAGGCCCCAATTTCCATACCTCTTTCTGAGTGGAAAAAAGCTCAGGGGAATTTAAATTTCATAGTGACCACTGAAACACAATTAGTGCATGGCTAAAGAAGGTAAGCTAAGCAAGGAAAATAAATTTTGAACCACCCCGTGAAAAGTTATTGTGATTTAATGCAAATAACTAACAATAGCTAAATGTAGGGAGAAGTGTAAGGTGTTCACTGCTGACACACTGTCGGCAACATAACCATGTTTGGTTGGCTTTTAAACAACCTGTTGTCCCTTCTACATGCACCATGGATGCTCTCCCCATACATCTCTTGATTGGTTGACAATTAAAATTTTGTGGAGAAAGAATCAGACTTCTGTGTAGGAGGAAGAAGCTCTTGATAATCCGGGGGATTGCAGTCCTGACCACAAGGGATTTTCAAAAGTTCTTGTCCCACTCCAGTGATTGGTCTCTGTTTATGAAATTCCACTAAATCTTTGAGAGTCTCATGAGCGATCTGATTGTGGCCAAAAAACTGGTAAGTGTTTTCACTGGTGTCGACCAGATAATGCTTGCAGCGCTCCGGTGCACGGTAAGTTATAGTATAACCCCAAACTCTCTCGCTCACGCGAACCAAAAACGACCCCGGTGGTTTATTGACGAGCAAATTTTCAGCATCCTGTCGGGAGATTATTCCTGAAAAAGAAAAAAAAAAAAAGAAGATACATCACAAGTTGGTCTACTTTGCGACTGGCAAATAACTTTTCCTTCACACACTAGTAGTCGACAACATCTCAGCTTATGTAAACTGACTGTTTGATGTCTTATTATTATTCCCGAAGATAGTAACTGAAATCCCACAAACAAATAGTGAAAAAAGTAAAATATGAAGTAGTTCTAAAGTGTTCTGCCCAGCGAGAATAGTTAGACTCCCACACAGTCTATGTGCAGACAGTAACTGAAGTCACACAAACAAAATAATGAAAAAAAGTAAAGTATAAAGTAGTTGTAATTGTTCTGCCCAGCGATAATAGTTACAGACTCCCACACAGTCTATGGTCACCTGCTTTAAGTATTTACACATCCCAAAGCTCCGATTCTCACCGTGAAAATAAGGTAGTATCTGATCGCCGTCGTAACAAATTCTCTTAGCTAGTTCTTCTTGCCGAAACCACTCGATAACGTTCTTTTTACTTTTTGGTTTGACGCTCCTTCTTGGCCTGAGAGGAGTAGTATTGCTTGGCGGAGGAGGTCTGGGGGGAGCCGCAGGTTTGACATCACTGGGTCTGTGGATTTAAACAACAATATTTAACACATAACAACAACAGCAATTCAGTCATAACGAGTCATTTCTTTCAACATTTTTGGCTTTGGTCATCCTTTACACAAGGTATTCACTTAAGAATTCTCTTCGCTTTGTAATTATCCGGAAATGAGCACTTAGGCTACTTCTAAATCCAAGGAAATCTAATGTGTAAGAGGCGCGTTAAATAGAGGAACAGTCTCCCATAATGATATGTACGGAGATCTGACTAACACAGCCACAGTATATACTGAAGGACACTTACAACCTGGAGACACCATACGCATACCTTGAAGGTACGGGTGGCGGTGGTCTCTGTGGTTTTGCACTAACTGATTTCCTTCGTGTCGGCTCAATCATGCTTCTCCTCTTCGCCTCCTCTCGCTCTCTTAAGACTTCCCTCCGCGCTACACTAACAGAGCTTCTCCTTCGGTTTTCTTCATCGTCAGCTTTCTTTTGTTGTTCCTTCCATGCTGCCTCCTCTTTTTGCATTTGATCGTCCTCTTTCTTTTTTAGCGCCTCTCGTGCCTTTCTCAAGCTCGCATATATCTCTTGTGCTCGTTTAGATTCATTTTCCAACAGTTCCTTATCTCGGCGTTCTTTCTCTGCCTTTCTTTGTTGTAAGCGCTCTATCACCTCTCTTTGTTTTTTCTCTGCTTCCTTTTGTTGTTCTTCTACCCTTCGTTTCTCTTCTTCCAGTTTTCGAGCTTTTTCAAGCGCTTCCTACAACACGATAAAACAAAAGTTCAAATTCCATCGAGCACTTAGCTTTGATTCAGCAAAGACTACACAGATTCCCCCATAACTCAAGATCAAAGTAAACAGCTTGCGTCAAAGAATCAAAGCTGAAACGATTGTCACGCAAAACTGTGTTGCTACATAACAAGGGTTTTGGTTTTCTTTAAGGCACGTTAAATACACAACTCAAAAATGCTCGGTGCGCTCATCAAATCGCACCTTTGGGGGGTTGGAGAGAATTTGACCTTGTCGTTTCAAGACGAAGGGCTTTTGAGTCGGATTGTCTGGTGAAGTTGATGCGTAGGTAATCACTTGTGGCTTGAAAATGCGTAACGACTTTCATTAAAAAAAAATGGGAAATGAATGGAAGGAGTTCCAAAAAGTAATACTGTGCGTTTCTTCCCTAGGGAAAGGTATTTGACTGTGAATTCAAATATCAAACATAGTAACAATTTAAAACCAAAAGAAATCTTGTCACCTGCTCTTGCTTCTTTCTTCTTGCCTCCTCCAAAGCTCTTTCCCTTGCTTTTCTCTCTTCTTCAGCTCTTCTTTCAGCCTCTTCTGCTTTCTTTCGAGCGAGTTCTTCCTCTTGCTTTCTTTTCTCCAATTCAATTCTTCTCTTCTCTTCTTCGGCTTTTCGTTTTTCTTCAACTGCCTTCCATTTCTCTCTTGCCTCAGCTTGTCTCTTTTCCTCCTCCTCCTTTTTCCTTCTTTCCTCTGCTCTCCTGCGTTCTTCCTCTTCTCTTTTCTTTCTCTCCTCTTCTTGACGTTTCCTTTCCTCCTCCTTCCTCAGTTCTTCCGCTTTTTTAGCAGCTAGTCTTGCTTCCTGTGGCATCAACATGAAATAAATCACTTCGTTTGGTCTAAAACAGGCAAATGTTTCCCACCGACGCAGCACCACAGTTTCTTTAGAAACTTACCCCTTTATTCACGAAATAAATCACTTCGTTTGGTCTAAAACAGGCAAATGTTTCCCGAGCGATGCTTCTTATTTCCCTCAAAAAAAAACAAAAAAAAAACAGGGTACTTATTGACGACAAATAAAATTGCATCCAAAAAAACCCCCTTTCCTAAACAACGTGTCCATAAAATGCGACTGTAATTTAAAAGTGGTGGTTCTTCAAGGAAAAGAGTTCTTAAAGAAGCTTAAACATACAGTAATCAACGAATATGGAAGCGATCCACGCAGTTATGAACATACTGAAGTGGTAGAGAAAATACGGCCTGAAAAAATTCAGGCCCGTACGGGATTTGAACCTATGACCTCGGTGAAACCGGTTTTGCAGAGGTCATGGGTCATGGGCAGAGGTCATGGGTTCAAATCCCGCACGGGCCTTAAATTTTTTTTAGGCCCTGTTTTCACTTCTACTTCAGTAGTGTTCAGAAGTGCGAGGATCACTTCCATATTCGTTTCTTCAACCGCAGTTCACATACATGATTTTCATGTATGTACAGTCATTTATACAGTAACCAATTGTGCATATAAATAAGCATCAGCCTTAATATTCTCCCAAAGCCAACCCAAGATTACGAATTACCAAAAAGATCCTGCAACTCATTTGATAAAAAAGGACTGCAAAGTACGAAAAAAGAGATGAAAGCCAAGAACAAGTGAGCTGACGAAACATAACTACATGCTATGAAAACATACTATAAGTAGACTTCGCAAAGTTATTAAACCCTGAGTTTGCATCTTTCCTGACCTCTTCAAGTCTTTTCTTTTCAGCTTCTCTTGCAGCCGCTTCCCTGGCCAACCTCGCCTCTTCTTCCTTCAGTTTCCTTTCTTCCTCCTGCCTCTCAAGTTCCTTTCTTTTTATTTCTTCCATTTCTTTATGTGCAAGTTCTTTTGCCTTCTTTTCATCTTCAGCCAGAGCTTCTAATTCCTTCTCTAAAAAATTATTGATAGTGACATTATTTGAGCTGAAAGTACAGAGCAGTTTGAAATAAAATAATCCTTGCTTTTTATCACTTCCCAATAGCCTGCGCAAGTAGCATGAGTTAAGAGTGCGTTTCACTGAAGGAGATGAGAATGAATTAAGAAGTTTTTATTACTCATGAGAAATCTGCTAATTGTCACCAAAGACAATTTTCAGGGAATCCGGTCATTTCGATACAAAGTCGTTTCGATATAAATCAAAGTCGATTCGTTACTCATGTAAAGTCGATTCGATACAAACTCACGTTACTTCAAGTCATTTCGGTACAGAATACTACACTATACATAAATGACCAAACGAACCAAACGAACCTTTAAAAACATACTCACTAGAGCAAATACAAACCTCCGTTGTAAATAAAACAAACCTTCACCTCCATACCTCTGGAAAGTCCCAGGTTCCTCCTAATCTGCCTTCCTCACCGCCCATCGGACATAAAGCTTTTCTTTTTGGGCGAGGGGAAACCGAGTTGTACAACTCGGTCGATTGAGTCGTGGGGAAACTGGAAATTACAACAACGTCGATCGATCGAATTGGGTCGAATTTGAGCTAATTTGTTGAATAGAAAATAACAAATTACCACACAGATCAAAGACAAAAACTAACATTTATACTGAACTTTTCTCGAGCTTACTTCTGTATCGAAACAACTTCAGTTTGTATCAAATCAACTTTACATGTGTAACGAATAGACTTTGACTTGTATCGAAACGACTTGAATTGAAACGACTTTGTATCGAAACGACCGTGAACCATTTTTAGGCGAAGCATTCCAGCCAACAATGTATAAACCTTCCAAGCTTTCACTTTTTGTTTGTAAAAGTATTCTTAACTAAAATTCTGAACATCTCAGTGTAAACCTCTTTGTTTCTCTTCCAATTCTTGAGCTAAGGAAGCCATCCCAATTTTGGGAACTAGGTAAATTGAAAGTATTGAACTGTGTTAGAAAATATATCGTAGCCAGCTATAAGAAAGAACAGTTACAAGACAGGTACAACTGTATTGTCCCTTTTAGGTAACCAGCCCTTCACAAAAAAATGGTCAGTAAAAATGCAAACCTGATGAAGTAGCTGACTCTCTTACCTGTTCACAACTTCTTCAGGTTCAAAAATTTCAGTTTACACAAATTGTAAAAACTCTACTCCTCAAAGCAACCTCTACAGTCAGCAATGCTTCTATTTCTTTTAAAAACAAGCTGTTGTTCCAAACAAGCCAAGTTTTGTATATATTAAGCAGGGAAGCATATTAATTCACTTACTCTTCAAAACTGCCTCAAAATCTTGTTTGTCATCATCATCTTCTCCTAGTACCCAAACCCATGGATTTCCATCAACAGCAATCAAAAATTCTACACATTTTGCATTTGCTGGGGGAGGGAAATCAAATTAATCAATTATGATAACAAATTATTACTTTATAGTGACTTGTAGGAAGCAGTATTGAGATTATGTTATTTTATTACTTTTCCCTAAAGCTGCACATCAAAATGCTTGCTTTAAAGCTTTACTCTGTCTCCTGAGAAAAGACACTTCTTATAAAAATTCTCTGTGGCATTTGCTATGACTTTTTTATGCATTGTAACAATGGTGTGTTTAGTTTGTTTGACAGGATGAGTGAACTTCATGTTCAAGTCAAGCACAACATAACCCTGCCATACTTCCACTGCACTCATTTGACCGCAATGTACAAATACACACATAAGGACACCCATATCTCCTCTCACCCCCCCCCCCCCCACCCTTCTCAGGAAAAACCACTGCAAGTCCAAGTAGAAACTTACCTTTCTGTGGACGTGGTTTTGGTGGATTCATTGCTTCTTTCTTTTCCAGTTCATCTTCTCGTAAACGCCATCGTCGCACTTGCTCCTCTCGCATTTTTACAAAAAGAATTTGCTTCTGTTCTTCTGGAAGCTCAGCCAGCAGCTCAGGATCTACGTACATATCGCGCAGAATTTGGGCCAACATGGTGATCAATAGTGTCACTGATGAAAGAAGAGATTGAAATTTTAAAAGAGGCATTAACTAAAGGAAAATATTCCAACAATAATAGCACATCCTAGCATATAAAACTTAGTTCCCTTCAACTTGTAACTTTTAAAACTTAAACAGTGAAAAAAGAAAAAAAGAAAAAAAGGTTTAAGCAAGTGTAGTTCTGGGAGTCTTAAGGGGGTAAAGAAGGAAAAGGGAAGGATTCATTAAAAAAAAAAAGCAAGGCATGTAAGCCTTATGACTCTGCTTGGTTATCTGAATGAACTGCAATTGAAGTTATAAATAGATATGCATTTGCAAAAATTCCAGCTATAAAAATCAACCACCAGTAAATGAGCATAAAAGGATTTGAAAAGACAAATGACTTTACATAGTTATTGTACTAATGCTCAAAGAACAATTATTCTAAAAATTATGCTCAAATTTCTTCCTATAAATAAAATCTCTGAAGGAAAACAAAAGCCATGCAATGCTGTCAAATGATGTAAAATGGAACTTCAAGAAAAAATTCTTCATATCACCTGATGATAAATATAGCTTTCCATCAGTCATCTGACAGTCTCTCAAGTATTTTTTCATTAATTATCCAATCAAAGCAACAGATGTAGCAGTCTGTTTACAAACCCTCCATCTAATCCCCCAGGATCAAAGAAATAATTAATCAACCATCTTTGGAGCTCTTTGAAGAAAATTTATTCTTTGTTTCTCACAAAGCTACAACTTGCTATTAGATAAGAATCAAATAAAATATTGTTGCCATGCCAATTAACAGCCCATCATTGGAACTCACCATGTGTTAAAGTGGTTAAAATCGCCATGTGATTGTCACACTTTGTCTGGCAATGTTAAACTCTTAAACACCCGCAAACCAAATTCATTGATAGGAAGCCTTGACTAAGCTCCAAAACATTTTTCTCTGGATTAATTGGAATGTTTTTCTTTTAACAAGTTCAGCTTTTCTATATGCAATTACGCAATGTGGATTAAGGCTCACACAGATTACAGATGAGTTTAAAGTCTCAAAAGTTTTCTTGTATAATTCCTTGATTTTAATTAGTGCCCATCCTAAAATTATGCCAGATGGTTCATTTCAATTCCTTGCACTTTGGAAAACTGATAATAAGTACATGTATATGATTTTGTTTTTTGGTTTTTTCTCCCGACTGCAGTTGCTCAAGTTGTACTTACATATACACCTTTTTTAGCATGAGACAGTTATGAAGTCACATGTAAACCCTTACTTTTTTAAATACATTTATTTATGTAACTTCTCACTTCTTAAATAAATCATAAAAATAAAAGATAAAAATTGCAGTCACACCATCAGTTGTTTTACCAACTTGAGAGTAAATGAGACAAAAGAGGGAAGAAAAGATGTTTGCTGCTACATCCATTTCCCAAAATTATAACTATTGTGAGATAACTAAAACTGAATAAAAAGTAAGAGCATAGACATTACTCACAATTCAATCAATCGTTTGTTCTTTAAGGAGCATTCCAATATACAGGAAGATGATCGAGATAAAACTCAGCACAAAGGAAAGAACAGCGAAGACAATGATGCAACAGATCACATTATTATGCATTCCTGGTGTCCATTACAACTTGACTATATCCTAATTTCTGGAAGAAAACAACAAAAAAAAGGGTTAAACATTCAATCATTTCCATCAATACATTTCATATTTATTTAAATTGATGCCAAGAGTTCTGTGACCTTCTAACTAAATCAATTTAAATTTTGAAAATAAATTATGCCATCAGCTTTAAAGAATTACTGTGCTCAAGGCAGGTGAAATAGCTTTTGTTATTCAGTTTATACTTGTGCATGCTGCAGTTCAATTTCAACACTGGTTTAACATTCTTCTCCTTTTCTTTCTTTATGTGATGATGTATCAATGAAATACCGGAAATACAAATTTAACCAAACGGTAGTTGCCATGAAGCAAAAGAAGGAAAATCTTAACAATATGAGAAACTTTCCTGGCCAACATAGATGGAAATTCACTCAACATAAAAAATTTTAATGACAAATGTACATTACTGATTGAATTAATTAAAACATAACAAAAGGAACTATCAATCCAGTTATTTCTCACAAGAATAGATAACAGAAAAAGTCAGCAAAATATGTCACTTTCAGCTTCAAATTACACAGAGCACATCTGCAGATTATGGAGACAGAAGATTTGAGTGACTGTTATGTTAATGAGCAATTAAGCCTCACATATTTAAAATGAACTTCTATAATTATCATTATGTGATTAATTCCTTGTGGGACATTTTGTTTTCACTAAAATTGTTTTCTCTCCCAAAAATTAAAAAAGGGTCTTACCCATTATTATGAACATAAATGATATGAAGCAGATTCCCTCCTAAAACTACAGTTAAATGTATCTATAGACAAAACAAGTCCTGCTCCCAGTGACTTTCCCCTGTTACAGAATTGTAGACACTTCATGCAGTCCCAAAATTTTTTTAAAATAGTTTTCCTCTCATTATTTGGGTCATTTGGACATACTCAAAGAAAAATGTAATTAGGACATTCAAGAAGTTTAAAATTTGTACTGGACAGTATTTTTACCTTTATGTTGTCATTACATGCCCAACTATCACAGTAAATGTTAACCAATGATTAAAGGAAAGAGGTTATCTTAAAATACATTTTATAGCAGAAAAAATCGTGAACTGCACTTTTAAACCAAAAACAACATCATTTTAACTGACTTGTACTAATTAGGGCTATACCAACTAAGGACGCCAAATGGCAGTCCTAAAGGTGTTCCCCAGACTCCTTCCCATGACGGGTTTCAGTGTGTTAAACCCTACCCTTAGGGAAATTCTGGTTTTGACTTGTAACCCGCTGATTTTGGTTTTGACTTGAGCCCATTAGTAACCATTAACATGGTCACCAATGAGCCAAAACAAATTGGCCGTTTTAACGGGGTGGCCATATTACAAGGGCAGGATCAAATTTCTTGATCACCTTGCAAGTTGCCTAGGCAGATGTGTCAATATTTATTTCCTTTATTATGTTTGCAATAAAAACAGGGAGGGGTGTAGCTTATTTGTAAACAAATCAGCTCTTTGGTTAGTACAGGGCAGAGATCAATCACATCAACATGTAACAGGCATTTTGGTTTTCTAGATTAAGTGCTAGTGGCTGCATTAATGGGGTGAAATTAAAAAGGATTCTCCTGTTTGGGATTTTAAAATGTGGCTGTTGGCTGTATTAACATGTGACCATATCAACAGGGGATTTTTAGAAGAAAATGTATGGAAATTTTTCCAGACCATAAAAAGGTGGCCATAATAATAAGAATTACAGTTCTATAATGTAGACCTCTTTATGGATATATTCAGTTGTACTTTGCAATATTGTTGAAGTAAAATTATGTTAAAAGCAACAAAAAACAAACCATTTGAAGGCTAAATTAAAAAAATGAGTTTTAACAGCAGTCTTGAAAGTGTCCAATGTCTTTATGTTGCAAATTGTCAAAGGTAACGCATTCCAAAGATATAGTGCACTGACTGGAATGCATGATCATCAAGGGTTGGATGGGTCTTAGTACTAGGTAACTTGCAAAACAATTAAATAATTAGGAGCTAGACCACATAAACACTTAAATGTCAAAAGTAGAATCTTAAACTTTATACAGTAACTAATTGGGAACCAATGAAGTTGAAAAAGCAATGGTCTAACATGACAGAATCTTGGTGTTCCTGTGACAATGACAACCTTCGTAATAACGAAGGTGACCATTTTATCAAGGTGGCTATAAGGGAGGGTTGCACTGTAATTATAAATATAACCCTCCTTTGGGTGAATTGGGATGCAATTGATTCTCACAACATGATTATGCTTTCACAATATTCATTTGCATTTGAATTGCATGCTGGAAAAACTGTTACATGAAAGTAAAAAACAATTGAAGTTAACTCAAAAGATTTCGCAGCACACTCTTCATTATCTAATGCTCTTTTCACAAATGTTTTTCCTACAACCAAGTTTCTGTTTATTCAGTTAGGGAATTTGTTTTTGATACTTGTAATATAGCTTCTTCCAGTTTTCTGTAAACCTTTTTGGGAAGACTTGTCTACCTCTAGGTTTCTTTGATATTGAAAAACACCATGAACACTATTGGCCAACACATTAGTCTGCATGCCATTCACAAAACATCCTAAAGTCCAAAGATATAATCTGTCAATCTCCACAAGGTTTTGATTGGTTAAAGGAACAGTGTAACTTGACTCTGTGGAAACCTGAAATGTATCAACTGAAAACACTTGTTTCACTTTTCATGATTGGAGTTAAAACTCTAACTGTCCAATTCAAGGCTGAAATACAGTCAATTCTCTGCTAGTACACAACACTGGAAGAGGACACCCAGGGATTTCAAAACAAACTGGTGACTGCTGGAGTTCTGCTGGCTTCTTGATAACAAGTTGCTGGTTACTTTAGACAAAATAATTACCTTCTGGTCCTTAATGAATTTTTCACCGTTTCCTACTGTTGCAGAGTCTGACTCCTATTTCAAAACATTTTGAAACCCCTCTTTAAGGTTTTCCAGATACAAGATTTTGTAATTTTTCAAGTTTCATTTTCTATTAACTTTTTCTCTGTGGTACTTTCTTTTAATTTTTCACATTATCATTTAACACAGGCCCTCTTTGGCACTCATTAATTCTAGTGGAAATTGCAAATCATAATCACTGGTTTATAGGCTGGATATTATTTCTAAGCTTATCTTGTAGATTTCATGAAGATGTACATTTGGTTTGGTCTCTAAAAATAAGTAACTGGTGATTTATCATAATGTAAAAACAAACAAATCAAACTACTATCCCTCCCTCTTACCACCAGAGCAACAACAAAACATCAAACTGATCCATTGCAACAAGAGATATTGTTGATCAGACAATTTAATGAACATTGATCTGGGACATTCATTTTTTTTTATCTTGGGTTGAACAAAATAATTTAAAAAGCCATCTACCGCATAGACTGAAATAAACATTTGCAACTTCCCTAAACAAGAATATTTTTTTCCTTCATTTATCCAATGTGTAGGCTAAAATGTCATGAAATTAATTTGTTTACTCCAAAGTGCACCCAATCAGAAAACCCATGTTGAGAATATTTAAAACCCAATAAAGCTATAACTCAATTTTGAAGCTTTAAATGTCTATAAATTATTTACAGGTTGTAGAGACTGGTTCAATGCAAAACCGCTAATAATCAAATTTCGTGATGTCAATTCAACTTTACCAAACCCTATCGGGCAGAATAATCAAACATGATTTTCAATTTTGTAGTATATTTCGAAAGTTTTTTAATGATTAAGCTGAAGAGTGTACTAGCTAGATACAGTACATATTCCACAACGACAAAATACATTGATGATAGGTCAACATATTTGCTTATTTGTACCTTGTAGTAATTCACTTTGAATAATAGCTGACACAGGCGTGACTTGATAAAAAGAAGCTGTTCGCACATTCTTACACTAAAAGAAACTTTTATTGGTATTAAAGCTACAGTAAAACCCTTGCTAACGATTCGAAGTTGAACTCGTGAGGTGTATCAAATCTAAACAAGCCGAACGCCGTAAGATCATAACGATCATATCACATCCCTACAGAAGGTGGCACAAAAGTCATTTGTCATAACCAACAATTTACTTGATAGAAAAGAAATGAACGCAGCAAAGCTTCTTATACTATCAGAAGCACTAGATTGATTTGGAAACATGAGCCAAAATTAGCAAGATTTCAACAAAGCTATATACTCAGCCAGGTAAGGAATTTTGAAGAAACTGAAACGTAACCGAGCTGGAATTGACCGCTAGTGGAATACAAAAGAATTACCAGCGGTACAATAACATACTGAAGAAGTCAAAGAAGAAGAGTAAGTGCGAACATATGTTACTATAATTATCTCCAAAAACGATCAATCGCTCGTCGTAATTGGAGCATATATCGTAATAGGAGCACGAAGGCGAACTAAAATGCTCGAAAGCAGCCATTTCCTTTCGAAGTTAACGGCATTTTCTACTTGTAAAGGCATGCACATGATCAAAACTCCTACCTGTGAAGTTTGGAAACCCAGCCAGATAAAATAACATGGAATTAATACGGCTAATTTCCCTTTACGTCTACGATCTTAGCTCACAGACCTTTAAATTTAACTTCCTTGGACAAGAATCGGCCACCATCCCCCGGGGCACTCCAATAATCAGATCTCACAACAATACCTTACTAATTGTGTTCTCTACCAATCATAACTCGGCTTTTCTCATTTGCGAAAGGAAGCAAAATAAGAGAAATCTGGGAAGAAATGTGCATCATAAGTTTCAAACCCCTAAAAGATGATATTCTCGTCTGAAGACTCATTGAGAGGCAGAAAAAAAAAAAGAAAGATATTTACTTCTGCTCTCCATAGTGAGTACTCCGTATAGCAATCAAATGACTATATATAAATATGAAATAGGTTGAAAGCATGAAGCAGGGGCACACGTAATGGGTTGAAACATGAAAGTGGCATGCTGCAGACACACAGCAACGGACATAGGTTTCTACCGATAAAAAAACCTTGTAGAAGGAAAAATTAAACTGACTAACATCAAGACAACATGAACGCAACTTTTAAGACCTATTTGGGCTTCATCCTATCTTGACCTTGTATGCATCGAACATGATGGCTTTGGGTTCTCTAATGATAATATGTAGATACATATGAAGGATATGGAAACTGCCTTTTGATGTAGTACATCTTTTTTCTCATTTTATTTATGAATTAAATTGACTATGTATTTTTTGTTATCAAGGACCCAATGTTGCTATAATTATTGCCTTGTTACGCATGCACATTCTGTGGCTGAAACACTACTTTAAAACTTGAAACCTTTTTTTCTCTGCAAACGATTAACATGTTAAAAAAAAACTAAACCTTCGTGAGCCTCCTTTAAAGCGTGAGATGGAAAATGATTCATCCTTTCATCAGCGAATGAAAAGTTGGAGCCTTAAAATTTCATCTGAGATCACGGAGGATCGAAGGCTTTTTTCTTCTATTATATTCCTTTCTTTTTCAGCATAAATCGATAGATGGCGATTCTTGCGAAGATCTTAACCGTTATCTTCCTTTTTGTAATTGAACTGCTAAAATGAGAGAGTTTAGCGATTAACTTTTGAATAAAATGTTCGCCGGGAAACCAAATACTTTTCCGCCGGTTTCTAGTTACTCGTGCGACGGATTATCCCAGGAAAGTTGAATAAAACAGTGTTCTTGGGAAGGGACATCAAATATTATGAATCGTTATTCAATAGAATTAACTTCGAGCATTGGGAACCATCCGTAAAAACTCTTACATAATTATTTCATTTTCGCCGGAACCTAAAGAAAGGAGTCTGGCAACGAGTAGGTGATAAACAATGTTGTTACTATGGCTACACTGTAAAAAGAGCCATTTTATAGGGTCATGTCGAGAAAACTTGTTACACTTCGTAATGGCGGAAAGGTTCTGATCTGTATAGAACACTGCTCATATTCTTCACTGTTTTGATATTGCTCATAACTTTTGTTCAAGCTTGGTAGTGCCTCAGAGTGGATAAGGAATTTACTAATAAGTGATCACCAGAAAGGTTGTTCAGAGAGTGGATCAGCCCAGAACTACTTCGATTAAGTATTTTTTTGGTACATGTGTAAACCTTCGCTTTGATTTGGAGTGTAATAAGTTCCAAAGAAAGTAGCTTCTGTGGAAAGAAAACTTCGGTATTGCCAGTTGGATGTGGATTGTCTTAGAAAGAGAATATTACTGAGCTAGCGTTGAAGTGATACTGCCAAAGGAGGTCTTAGTAGGAGAAATCGATTGCACATCCCTCGCATTGTTTTGCATTGTTTGATGCTTCACTGCAGCTGTAAGGCTACGTTATAGTTTTAACTTTCAAGTGGAACATGGATCAGTTTGAGAGAGGAACACTAAGCGCTTAAAGTATCAAGGATTAAATGTCGGCCTGTAAGAGCGTGATATAGACAAGTTGACCAGAAAAGGCTTCTTTCGATTTTGTTTAATTTATCGAACTCTGGGCGCCCAGCGGTAGTAAGCTTGTTTCAATTTTATTCGCATTGTCCTCCTAAGACAGGTTTAGAATGCTCATTTTCTTCTCTACCTTCGCCAAATTTTGCTAAGATATATAACTGAACATCCAGTCGATCGTGCATGGCAATAACTTGATTTTACTCGATGGAAAAGTACGAGAATCTTGGCTTGGTTGGGGAAGGATCGTACGGCATGGTGATGAAATGCAAACACAAAGAATCCAACCAACTTGTGGCTATCAAGAAATTTATCGAGTCTGAAGATGATAAAATGGTAAAGAAAATAGCATTGAGAGAAGTTAGAATGCTGAAGGTAAGTTGTGGCCATTTGTTTGAGGTGCTTTATCTGTTTGCATGTTTACAGTATATTGACACACTGTGTGACATCTGTTTGAATAGAACGTGTACATGTATATTTAGGGTTATAATTTACGGTAAGATGCAACGATTCCTACTGTCAACTGTTCGCTGTATTCAGCGCCAAAAGTCTTTTTAATCTCTTTTATTTCAAACTGTGATGCGGCTGAAACTTTGTGAAAAAGGCCGTCTTTATTTTCGCTAACTAACGATTAAATTTGGTTGCAAATTTCGGAAATTCAATTATGATGCAAGACAACTGTTGGTAAAATTTCCTCACAGCCCCATACCGTTGTAAAACAAATCTATTTTCCCAATAGCAATGTATTATTTTTGTCATTGTTTTCTCTATCCAAGAACTGAATGCATAGTGTTGTCTGGGTCTGTGCGGAAATTTTACCCAATTGTTTAGTTTTTACCTAACTTGAATATTTGTAAATAAACTTCAAGCCAAAATTCCGGGGATAATGTTGGAAAAATAGTGGTGTTGTCGCTATCGTGATCCATTTAATAGGTTCTTGGCGTCTTCAACTAATTTTGTAAATTTGTAAATGATCACATTTCTTCTGTGGCTGTTAAAGTGGAATAATAAATAGTGCAACATCTCAACTAAAAAACTTCCGATGAATTTCCGTTTCCTCTCTTCTTATTGAGAATGTGGCCAATTTAAGATATGAGATATCGCTCTCTTCAATCTTTATACTTGTAAATCCTTGCTTAGTTTGCTGTTCTTATAAACTTAATACACAGTACTTGATCTGTGTTGGGACAGTTTAATTTGTTGTGCATTATAAACACCTTAAAATATATTAATGGCAAGTTGTAAGAGAAGAAGGTGGTAATTTTATCTACTGGCTATATCAGGTAATCAATGTGCACTCTGTAATTTGTCAGTTGATTTAATTTTCCCTTTTTCTTCAGTATTTGCAATAACATGTGAAATATCTTATCTTATTAAATATTATATATTATATAATGTACTCAATAAATTATCTCATTCCTGTTGGTCAGTGACAATTGTCTCTGCTTGGTTTACCTGCTGGTAAATAATGGTTAGTGGTAAATAATTTATTCAAAGGAACATGCACATATTTCTTGAATCTTAAAAAGGTTATTGAGAAATGTAGGCATTGAACATTCAAGGTAGCTGCAGAAAGTGGTTTTTGAAAATAAGTCTAATGAACTAAAAATTACTTGAATAATCCTTGTGCATTTTGCTTTTTGTGGTTTGTCTTGCTGTTTTGAAAAATTTCCAAATTGCACTATTAAGGGGGATAGTAATATGATAACATTCTCAAGATGGCTAGTGTTGTAACTGAACCAGGACAAGTCACAAGAGATGTTACTTTTACGAGTGTCTCACACTTGTCCATCAGTTTGAAAACCGTGAGGGTTTTGGTGGAAGGTTTAAGGACCTACACAACACTATAACGTAGTGCTTATGGCCTTTCTAGAAAGAAGGTACAGCAGGCACATAACAAGTGCCTATATCTACCAATCTACAATTGTTGATAATCCATCTTTTCCCCTCAAAATGTGATTTTATTAGGTGTTTGTTGTCACTAATTGTAAATAGAACTTTTAGAGCCATTTTATTAAACAATTTTTATTGAACAGAATCATCAGGTGAACAAAACAGCTGAACAATTTATGTACTGCTGTAGTGCCATGAACTGTTTGATATCATTCTTGCCAAGTCTAACCCTTTATATGCCAGTTTTCAAACTCAAAAGAAAATTTTTAAGGTTTAAGTACATGTATATTTACCATAGTTATATTTTCCTATTTTTAGCCTTGAAATAAGGATCCTCCTTCCCCCTTATGCACCTTTAAAGCATGCATTATGTGTTTCAATTGTAAATTGAGCTTGTTAGGGATGTTGAAGAATTTCTGTCAAAGTTATGTACTTTTTAAATGTTGAAATTTCTTGTTTTTCCTTTTCAGCAATTACGACATGACAACCTTGTTAATTTGCTTGAAGTTTTTCGTCGCAAGAAGCGACTCTTCCTTGTGTTTGAGTTTGTGGATCATACAGTTCTTGATGAACTAGAAAGATATCCTAATGGCTTAGAAGAGAATAATGTGAGGAAAGTGTTATGGCAAGTTTTGAGGGCCATTGAGTTCTGCCACCTTCATAATGTAAGTTGGCATAGTAGAACAAAAATACATTAAAGATAATGAGTATATATCACACCTTGTAATCAAACTTCATATTTTCATTACAGCATCATGACCTACATGTTTTATACCGATTGAATTTTCCATGGTACATGCTCCTCAAATGTCAGTAGGGGCCCACTGATCACTAATTATGTCCCCTTTTCACACTTTGACTCCAAAAATGATGACAGAGACAGGATAATCTGGGATTTAGATATTATGTATCAGGATATAACAATGAGACAAAGCGTTTCTTGTTAAATGATGCCAGATTTAAAATTGGCAAGAATAAGCTTGCCAATCTTTTTATCAAATAAACTGAAGTTAGGCTTTGGAACCAGGTACAATTTTGGCCTAGATTGTTGCCCAATAGTGAAACTCATATAACTAATTCTAAATAAACTAATTACTAAGTTGAATATGATTATGATTTGCTATATTTGTAGTTCACTTCTGTAATCACCCTTAACTTGATTAATGTTAATAATCCCATCACAATTTTCATAGGTCACCTGTCTTGTCATTTACCATGGTTATAAATAAGTACATTGTAATGGCATCTTTGGTATGCACATTTACTTACAATGGTGGTATATTTGCTACTTTCTGCCCATA